TCCGCCTCCTGGGTTTACGCCATTCTCCTGCCTCAGCCTCCGGAGTAGCTGGGACTACAGGCGCCCGCCACCTCGCCCGGCTAGTTTTTTGTATTTTTAGTAGAGACGGGGTTTCACCGTGTTAGCCAGGATGGAGAGACAGGGTTTCACCATGTTAGCCAGGATGGTCTCGATCTCCTGGCCTTGTGATCCGCCCACCTCAGCCTCCCAAAGTGCTGGGATTACAGGCGTGAGCCACCGCGCCCAGCTAATTTTTGTATTTTTTGTAGAGACAGGGTTTCATCATGTTGGCCAGGATGGTCTCTATCTCTTGACCTTGTGAAACACCCGCCTCAGCCTCCTAAAGTGCTGGGATTACAGGCGTGAGTCACTGCGCCCGGCTAGATTACTTACAACATCTAATATGATGCCTATGCATCACTTTGAGTGGATTCAACACTGTACTAGGTACACATCAAATTCAAGTTTTGCTTTTTGGAACTTTGTGTTTCTTTTTTCTCCAAAATATTGCTGATCTGAAGCTGGATCATGGGATGTGGACTCACGGACTCGGGCAACTGTACTTCGTGACACGTGACAATTACCTGAAATTCAAATATGAATGTTCATAAAGTTCTACCGGAATACAGCTAGGCTCACTCCTCTAGATACTGTCTATAGCTGTTTTGCACTACATTGGCAGAGTTGAGCAGTTGCAACAGAAACCACATGGCCTGAAAGCAAAAACATTCAGTATCTGGCCCTTTCCAAGGAAGTCTGCCAATTCCTGGTCTAATACCTCACTCCTCTGTGGACCTTCAAGGGCCTGGCACAGGAGTCTGAGCACTGGGACACTGACTCTGCTCAGGGATTTCCTGTGAAGTGACACCCAGCATCCTGCTTAAATCTGCCTTACCCAGTGGATGGTTGACGAGAGAGGGTACACTGGTGGCTGTGAGGGTCAGCTCCTTCTCTTCGCTGCCTTCCATGGGGCCCAGCAAGAAGCGAACACGCTGTTTAGGGGCGGGAGGCTTCCCGGCATTGAGACCTGAACACACACAGATAATACATACACACATACATACAAATATATGTACATATAAAATATTTTTTAAGAGACAGGGTCTCGTTCTGTCGCCCAGGCTGGAGTACAGTGGCACCATAATGGCTCACTGTAATGTCAAACTCTTGGGCTTAAGCGATCCTCCTGCCTCAGCCTTCAGAGTAGTTGGGATTACAGGCGTGCACAACGACGCCTGGCCAGGAATATCTTGTTCTGTTCAAACACCCGGACAACAGGGAAGTATGATGTAGAAGACAAAGCAGAAGCCCATGGTGCAGAGGGCAGAAGAGCAGTAGTTAAGGAACAGGCGGATTAAAATAGACTCTACAACGTAGTAACGGTGTGACAAGGAACAATACTGACTCATTTTCCCCCTCGAAAAACAGATGAACGTGAGGAGTAAGAAAGTACAGAGAACAGACGTTTGGGAAAGCGCTCTGCCCAGGCGAATAGGTCACGTGATTTTGTTTTGAGGGAAGGACCAGAAACGGAGATGGACTTTCAAGAGAACGAGAGCGGGAATGTGGGTCTGGTTCGAGGCACTGACCCTTCAGTAGTTGTAGCTCCACTGTATCCCGCAGGTGCTTCCATTTTAGCCCCGGGGGCTTATAGACCGCGAAAAGCCCGTGCAGTCGCGACAAGCCAGCGGACCCCATGCTTGAAGATCACAGCACCCACTGGACCTGGACGGAAGTGCCGCAAGGCCCCGCCCCCAAATGTGGTCCTTACCGTGGGCGCCGCCATGTTCCACAGCCGGAAGAGGTTCGCATTTTATAGTCTTCGGGGAAAACCGGCTGTGGAGAAGTAAATAGGGCCCGGCGCTGAGCCTCAGAGTGACCGTGGTTACGTCTCCTTTGCAGACACTTTCCGGGGCGAGGTGAAATGGCGAGAGTCTTGTATCGGTGGACGTAGACGGTAGACAGTTCGCGTGCGTTTCCTTCGCCTACTTGGCCTACATGCTTTCTGCCCGTGCAGCGATGTTTCCCCTCGACAGGCCTTGGCAATGCCGTCAGAATCGGTTTTTCAGTGGTGTTTGACCCCTCCGACGCTCCGTCGCCTAAGAGACTCACGGCGTTCTCCGTGCCCGCCCATCCTCCGCGGACGCCCACTGCCATGGCGACTCTGCTGAGCCCTGTCCTGCGCCGGCTCCGCGGGCTCCGCAGGCTTCCCGGCCTCCCGCGGCTTGCGGCAGGCAAGTGGAGCCGGGTTCCGGGCGCAGGCGGGAAGGAACCTGAGGGCGCCCGGCTCCTCTGACCTCGGCCTTTTTCTTGCCTTGCAGAAATGCCTCTCCGGGCCAGGAGCGACGGCGCCGTCGCCGGCGCGCTGTACTCGCACCACATCCCCACCTCCCCGCTGCAGAAAGCGCTGCTGGCCGCCGGCTCCGCGGC